CCCTTATTAAATCCTGTTTATCCTATCTAGATTTTATTTGTTTTAGTTCAATATTTTTGATTATTTATTATTTTACATGTACTTTTTCTTGTTTTTATTATTCATTTTTTACTAATTTCACAGCTTGTGAAGTCAGATCTTTTAATGAACTCCTTTCGTTTAAGAACTAGATGTAGCTACTGTAGTAAAGGAGGCTGGGCGTCAGCTTTTGCTGCTTCTTCTAAACTTTGCCCTATCCTGACTCCCTCACAGTGCCTCTGTGTAAAACACAATCAATACGGAACATTGTTGTATTCCGTTTTTTCAATATTAGCTATTTGTCACAATATTTGTTACACTGCTGCACAATGTATTAGCATGCAGACTTTGCAGATGGTACAAAGTGACCCATCACTTCACCTGGATGTTTCTTGGGGAAAGCCGGCTCCTGCATTCTCCCTGTGTCTCCTTCTGCCTGGCCTTTAACCTGGCCCTCTGTTGCCTCTTCATTAGCTTCCAGTACTCCCTCTTTCTCTGCAGGCTGCTCAAGCTGCTCTGCACCGAGTTGCTGTTTCTGCATTCTTCTTGTGCCTGACACTGTTGTTCACAGTGCTTTTGCTGTGGATGGAGTTGGTCTATGGGTGGGTGATGTAGCTTTGGTGGCTCGGGAGAGCAGCAGTTTTGTTGGTCCTCTTTTTTGATATGTGGTGAAGATGGATCATCAGAGGCTTCCCTGGAGGGGATTACTGCGAAGTTTGAAGTGGTCTGGGCGGAACGGCCACAGGTGGAATGCAGGGCTACCTCACTGTAGGTAGGAAGGGGTGAATGTGTGTCACAAATCTTTGATGAGTCTTTCAAATGCAGGCTTGATGAACCTGCCTGTACCAAGGCACCAGTATGTGGCTGCCAGCTTTTGATCTGCAGCGTCAGGTCAGCAGCAATAGGAGCCACCTCATCCTTTTCAAAAAAGAGCTGAGGTAAATTGAGCTTTAGCTCTTTCTCTGGGACATCTTCTGTTGTTTCTGTTTTAATCTCAGCCTGCACAGCTTTGCACTCGGCCACTGTGCTAAGTGATTCCTCCAGGAGTTTCTTCATAGAGGCCACGGCCAGCAGAGTGGTAGCTTGGCTATCTGCAGTCAGAGCTGGATCCGACTCTGGCTGGGATGTTGGAGGTGATGGTGGGAAGGTTGGGGGCTTGGTGTCTCGACAGATGGCCTGATCTGGTTGAGAATGTAGGTCAACTGCTGTCTCAAGCTCACTCTCCTTTTTCATCTCATCTGCATGTGGTGTAACAGACACACTGTTGTTGGGCAGGGGTTGTGCGTTTTCTGTGTGGTTAGTAAGACTTCTGCCTACTGGTACAGTAGTTAAAGCGATGTGCTTCTGGGTCTTCATTCTTAAAGCCGCAGTGGCCCTCGCTTGTAAGATGCCCTGCCTCAGTCGAGCTGCACGAGCTGCTCGCTGTTCCCGTTTCTTTATTCTCCAGTACTCCCTCTTTTTTGCCATCTTCTCCTCCTCTGTCAACTCTGGATCCAGAGAAAGTGCTGATAGTGATGGTGTGGTACTTGAGACAACCATTTTCATGACACAGCCGCCAGGGTGCGACCCTGCTGTTGATCCTCCAGAAGGGGCATTCTGAGGGCCTTGAAGATGAGTGAGTGTGAGCTGACCTACAGATTGGACTGCTAATGAGTGTGAGTGAGAATCAGTTGCACTTTCATGTTGAGTCCGTGGTCGAATCAACAGTA